ATAATCCACCACCCCCCCATCACCGCCTGGTGCCAAGTAGGGAGTGAGTGTTCAAAGACGTGAGCTCCCCGGGTCATTCCTAGTCCCCTCGTGGACAGAGATGCTTACCCGTGAGGAACCTCACAGACCAGAGATGAAGGTGGGAGATGGATCCCTGACTTCTCAGGAACCTGGGGTACCCAAGGCTGAGAAACCAGGCAGGGTAGGTACAGTTACCACAAAGGACGCCAAGCCTAGAGCAGCAGCAGGGAGAACAAAGGGGGCTGGGACAGTCTCTAGTCCGTGCAAATGTCTCAGAGCAGGGGATGAGCCCTAAAAGAGGCCAGCTGGGGCCAACAAACCTGACACAAACCATTTCCTATATTTTTGGTTGTGAGCCTAGCCTTTCACCACTGAGCCGTCTCTCCAGCCTGACACCAAACACCTCAATGACAGGCTGGGGAGATGGCCCCGAGAGAAGCGTATGTCCTGAGAGCTTGACTACTTGAATTCAGATTCCCAAAACCACAATGAGGCATCTGTAAGCCCAGCACCCCAAAGGAAAGATGGGAAGCAGAAACAGAAGCCTGTGGGCCAGCAAACCTGGTGCATGTAATGAGCCAAAGATCCTGTCTCCAACAAGGTGAAGCGGGACCTGAGGGTGTCCCCTGACCTCTACGTGAAAAGGGTGGCACCTGCAGACCTGTGCTCACAGGAACACACACATGCTTTAAAAAAAAAAAGTACCAAGCCAGGCAGTGGTGGCACACACCTTTAATCCCAGCACCTGGGAGGCAGAGGCAGGCAGGCTTCTGTGAGTTTGAAGCCAGCCTGGTCTACAAGATGAGTTCTAGAACAGGCCTCAAAGCTACAGAGAAACCCTGTCTCAAGAAAACAAAAGCAAAACAAAACAAAAAAAGTACTTCAGTGGAAAGCCAGGAACTCTCACCTGATTCCCAGGGCAGCCAGAGCCAGGACAGCACAGGACAGACGGTAACAAGCTGTTCGAGTGTTATCCGTGTGCTCCCTCAGCCTTCCCTCTGTCTTCTCGAGGCACCTACAAGCGCCACTACAGTTGTCGGTGACTGTGTAACAAAAGTGAGTAAAACAACAGCCGTGGTTCCTTCTCTTCACCCTGCTGGATTTGTGCGGCGGCGCTTGTCCAGGAAGGCCCATCTCTGCCCTGCTGACCTTAGCTGAGGTGGAAAACCTGATGGGGCTGGAACATTCCTTCTGACACGGCTCAGTGCCTTGAGCGTGATCTTGCTTGTCTGTGGCTGGAATGAAATAACTCCCAGAGACACTGAAAGAAAGGATCTGGTTCACTTTTTCGGAGACTTCACCCCGCCGTGCTTGACAGCGCTGATTCTGGGACCAGAGTGAAGCAGAGCCTCGTGGTCGCAGGCGCCGTGGAAGAGGATGCTGGCACTGCGGCATCCTTCCTCCAGCTGAGCCTGACTTTCGAACGTTCCCACGGCCTCCCCAAAGGGCGCAAACCATGACAAGTCCTGACTGGATTCTTTTCCAGACTAGGCAGCCCCTTCTGTCTCTCTAGATGGCTAAGCTTCAGGAAGAAGCATTCAGAGGTACCAGAAAGGAACTTTCTGCATCTGTGACCTGGACTGAGCAGCATCGTGATGGCTCTAATCACGGACTCACTGAGAGTGTGGTTGCTTCTTTTCAGAAAGTCCCTTCTGAGTCAGCTTTGTGGGGATGTAGCTCGACCCTGGAAAAACTCCAGTGGGTGCAAGCTTGGGCTCTGTCAGCTCGGCAGAGGGCGCTGGAACTGCAGGAAGGCCTGGAGGGGCGGGGCTTCCCTTTCTCTTGTTTGCGTGGGGCGGAGGGGGGGGGAACAGCTCTTCACATGCCTTCCAAGTGCTCTGGATCTGGAGCCCAACCCTCCTTCCTCCAGCCCTGCAGACCCCGGTGGACTCTTCAGAGACCCCCACCCTTGTGGGTGACTTCTTGCTGGCCCCTCTGCTGTCCTACCCCCAGCGATGCCTTCAGCTATCTGGTGGGAGCTCCTGGCCACGCATACCCTTTCTGAGTTTCGTGACTAGCCAGCACCTCTCCCCTCAAGTAATCCTACTTTCTCCTTGCCAGGCTCCTCACCAAAGACAGCCACCGTCCTCCCCGGCCGGCGCAACTCGGCAACTTTCCGCGTCATTTTCTTGGCATTTGCTACTCCTGCCCTGAAGTTCTCGTGTGCCCTTTGGCTGAATGTCCAACAGCCCAGGGACCAGTACAGCTTCTGTCTCCTTCTGGGACTGGACAGAGTGTCATCTCAGGAGCAGTCCTGGAGATGTGTCTTCCCCGATGGCTCACAGTATACTCTGGGCCTTGAATATGCCACCAAGCTCCTTGCCTTTGGGAAGTGGGTGTTCCTGTCCATGGCATGTGGGCATTGCCTCGAAGGAAACTGCTTCCACCGCCTGGTGGTAATAAAGGGCCTCTTAACATGACATGGGGTCCAAGTAACTGCCGCATGTAACCACGGTGCAGAGAAGACTCACAGCGCTCACCAGGGAGCTCAACTCCAAAGTCCTCAGCTCCCTGGCTCCCCTGAGGGGCGCGTGCTCCTCTCGTGGCCACAGGACCAGCACCGTTGTATCAGAGCCTCTGATTTCGTGCACGCCACACAAGATGAGCTGAACCTGATCGTGACCACAGGAATCCCTCCTAGAGAGCTGGGTCTGGGCTGCAGTTCAGTGGTGAGTCACTTCCTGACACAGAGATCCCGGGTCCTGTCCCTAGCACCAGAGGGGCAAAGTTAGGACACTGATGAAAACACAGGAACCCTCTCCCGCCTGGCAGATTTGGGGGTGACCAAGGGAATTGGAGCATTATCTCAACTGAGGCTCCCTCCTTTCAGGTGACACAAGCATGTGTCAAGTTGTCATTAAACTAGCCACATCTTTAGCCCTAGCACTTGGGAGGCAGAGGGTGGGGGGGGGGATCTCTGTGAGTTCAAGGACAGCCTGGTCTACAAGAGCTAGTTCCAGGACAGGAACCAAAAGGCTATAGAGAAGCCCTGTCTCGAAAATCCAAATAAATAAATAAATAAATAAGTTTAAAAAAATGTACTCTTAGCTTGCAGGCTGTACAAAAAAAAAAAAAAAAAAAAAAAAAAAAAGGGCGTCTCCAAGCCGATTTTGGCTCATAGGCCATAGCTGCTAAACCCTGGTTTCTACACAGCAAGAAACTTTCAACACAGCTCTGTGTTGGCAGAGACTCAGGAGGATGTGTGGAAGAGCTCCCAGAGTGTTAGACAGGGGAGGCTGAGGTAGATCCCTAGCCGGTCACACCCCTAGCCGGTCACACCCCTGTGTGTTCAGCCAGGCACTGGGCACTGGAACCTTCAGTCCTGTTCCTCAGTTAGTGACTCTGGGCTGTCAGGACATCCTAGCGCAGTGTATGCAAGAATGGTCAGAGAAGCTGGGCATGGAGGTGCGCCAAAGCCGACATCTGTACGTTCCAGGCCAACCAGGACCACATAGTGAGACCCCATCTTAAAAAGAGTGTAAGAGCCTCACAGAGGTGGGACTTTCCCGTCGTGCACACCCCACACCCCACACCCCACACCCCAGCGCGTGGTCTCCACGAGGCCTTGAGAACTGCACAAACGGGAAGCTCCAGGCTCCCAGAAAGGTCCACCAGCGCTGCCCTCTATAGGAATGTTGACCACAGGAGCAGGGGCCGTCACTGAGATGTCACGGGGCCAGTGGGCCCACAGAACAGCGGAGACGAAGATGCAATGGCAGCCACCAAAGCCATCGGCTGAGCCCATAAAGGGCCTCTGAGGATGTACTGGCTTGTACAGAGCCCTGGCACACAGGGCTCTTGGCTAGCTGGAGGGGGAAGCGAAAAGCAAACAAAGCCCCAGCCCCTAGAGACTGCTTCTAAAGTGGCAGAAGGAGCTAGAATCCTAGGTGTCGCCAGAGCCTTTGGGCATCACCACAGACCTGCTGTTCTTTTCCAGGCAAAGCCAAGTCGAGACTGGGAGCCTTTTCTGGGTGAACAATCACAAGAGCCTCGGCGGGGACATCAGAAAACCCCCCACCCCAAACCTTCTGTGCTTTTTTTCCTAAGGAACTGTGGGTGGGGGAAGGAAGAACACACGAAATTCAGGAATCCCAAGGTGCTGCCGGAGGAGGGGGTAGGCACCAGATTTACATAATCAGTGATGTGTGGAACCTGAAGCCAAGACTGAGCCCAGAGTTCAGAAAGGCGCCTTGTACTGCTTCCTCTGGCCAAGACGATAAATTCAGGCCAACAGTGCAGACTTGGTGGCTTTAGGGGTGCTGAGTCCCAGGCATGAGTGTCTTGGCACCCCAGTTAACTCAACAAGGGGCTACAGAGAGCAGATGGGATCAGAATTCCTGGGGTCACTGCGTCCATCCCAGCAGCAGGGCAGATTCATCGTTAGCCCAAGACCCAGGGATGAAAGTAGGGTCCCTGTGTTGTTTCCCGGACCCTGACCACAGCGGGAAGACCAAGGGACAAAGGTGACAGCGACGACGAGTGGCAGGTGCACGCTGGGGCACGGCCTCTTAGCAAGACTTTTGGATCCAAAACCCTGGGTGCAGCCGGGCGGTGGTGGCGCACGCCTTTAATCCCAGCACTCGGGAGGCAGAGGCAGGCGGATCTCTGTGAGTTCGAGACCAGCCTGGTCTACAGAGCTAGTTCCCGGACAGGCTCCAAAGCCACAGAGAAACCCTGTCTCAAAAAAACCAAAACCAAACCAAACCAAAACAAAACAAACCCTGAGTGCAGTATCCGCAAAGTCAGCATTTTCTGTTCAGGGACCAGCGGGGGGGGGGGGGGGGGGGCGTCGGTTGGGCGTTTTCCGAAGGTCGGGAAGCCTGGCTTAGGCGTACCCGTCTGAGGTGCACTGAATTAATCAAGATCCCATTTGATTATCTGAAAGGGCGAGGCAGGGCGTTCGCGACGCCCGGGGAAATCCAGCCAGGAGGTGCTCACGCTAAGGAGGAAGCTGCTTCGCGTTCTGCGGCGCGAGGCTCCACGCGGCCGCCGTAGGGCGGGCGGAGTACGGTGGCCGCGGGGCGGCGGCGAACGGGCTCCGCCGGCCGGCGCGGGGGCCGCCATGGGCAACCTGTTTGGCCGCAAGAAGCAGAGCCGGGTCACCGAGCAGGACAGGGCCATCCTGGTGAGGGGCCGACGGCGGGCGGGGCGGGGCGTGGGGCTGGACCCCGCGGGGTAAACTGAGGCGGGCGGGGAGCGGAACGGGTCCCGCTTCCGGTGCCATCGCGCGTCCAGCTGCGGACACACCTGGACCGGCCGAGCGGAGGCCAGGAAGGACCCGGATTGAGCGCAGATTCCCCGAGAGAAGGGGCCAGGAAGGAAGCTGCTGACAGCCTAAGTTGCTGAAAGTTCCGAGATGAAGCCCCCAAATAAAGAGCCCGTGGGCGTGGCTGTCACTAAAAGTCTCAGCGCGACGCTTACAGGAAAGGGTCCCTCTGTGGCGTGCAGGAAGCCCCGGGGACACCCGCGTCCCAGGACGCCGTCCTCCAGTTCTAAGTAGAGCTGTCGCGGAGGTGGGTCCTGCGGTCAGGGCACCACCGCCAAGCACACATCTGCAACAGTCCAAGGTGCCAGGGACACAGGGCGGAGAGCCTAGCCCTAGCCGCCGCCGGACCTGCTTAGGTTGCTTGCTCCGCAGAGGCCCAGCCTGGCCTTGCTGCAGCTCCGCTGGTCTCCCCTCCAGGCGATGGGACTCCTGGCTCTTTGTGCACAGCTGGCGGAAACAGCCAACCAACAAGAAAGAGCACAAGTGGCCTGGCCACACGGCCTCCCGAATCTGAAGGGCGGGAACAGAGAGCTCTTTCCCCCATGCCCGCTGAGGGCCAGACCCTGTAGAGAACCCTGGGTGGAGGGGGGGGGGGGCTGGGAACTGACCCCTCCCCCAGCCAGCAGAGCTCTCCAGCTAGCTTGGTCTCCCGGGTAACCTACAGGGGAATGGTGGATCTTAAAGGTGCCCGTTGCCTTCACTTACAATGTCTGCCCTCAAGGTGCCCTCCTGCGTGTGAAATGTGCCCAGGGCCCGCACCTGCTCATCATAACTCCCTCTGCAGTGACAGCATTTGGACACAAAATGGAAACGGCTAAGCGGGGAGGACGGACCATAGTTGAATAGTGGTCATTGACCTTTCAGGTAGATGACAGTGGAGACAGGAAAGAAAACTAAGTGCATGATAAAAACGGGAAGAGCCGTGTGTGGCAGCAGACTTTCAGTAGGCTGAGGCAGGGGGATTGGGCATGCAACTTCATGTTCTCTGATGTATTAGAACCTTCCAGGGCCTGGTGGCCCCCTCAGTGACCCACAGAGCATAGGTTGTGTCTGGAGCCAAGCTGTGACTGACGAGGGTGAAGGCCGCCTCCTTGGTACAATGGGCCTTGGCGCGGTGTGAGTCCAGAGGTGTTTCTGAATATTGCTCCATATCCTCTGGGTGGCAGAGGCCACCGCTAGAAAGGATGGCCCGGCCCTTCCTGAGCATGCTGGGACCAGCAGCCTGGTGAGATCCTGATGGAAGGCATGCTGACCGGGCTGCATCCTTGCTGTTTCCCCAGCAACTGAAGCAGCAGAGAGACAAGCTGAGGCAGTACCAGAAGAGGATCACACAGCAGCTGGAGAGGGAGCGGGCTCTGGCCAGGCAGCTGCTGCGGGACGGCAGGAAAGAGTAAGGGGCACTGCCTCGGGGCTAGCATGGTGGGAGAGGAGGCACGTCCCTGGAGCTCAGCCAGAGCAGACGAGGTGGCTTCCCTTGCAGACGGGCCAAGCTGCTGCTCAAGAAGAAGAGGTACCAGGAGCAGCTGCTCGACAGGACAGAGAATCAGATCAGCAGCCTGGAAGCCATGGTAAGCCGGGGCCTTGCTGGGAACCAGAGCTCCTGGGGAACGGGATGGGGGTTGGGCTACCCCAGGGCTGGATGTGCGGAGCAGGTCATGCTGGTGGGGACTGCATGCGCGTCTCCCAGAGTTGGGGTAAGAACCCTGGTTTGCCCTGCTGGCTGGAGCCACTGAAAGGCCGTCTCATCCTTTGGAAGTGTCCAGCACTTTCTCAGTAAGTTCCAACCACCATAGCAGGGAACCAGGAAGGGTGGGACAGGACAGTCCTTCCAAGGCCAGAAGCCTGTCACCCATGAGTCCAGAGCCCAGCGGGCTTCTGACCATGACTGCCGCTTTCAGGTTCAGAGCATCGAGTTCACGCAGATCGAGATGAAGGTGATGGAGGGGCTTCAGGTGGGCAACGAGTGTCTGAATAAGATGCACCAGGTAGGTCCCTTGGGGCTCGGCAGGCAGGTGCAGCTGCAGGCAACTCAGTGGGGGGTGCATTGTGCCAGCTCAGGACCTGAGTCTAGCTGGACTGGGGTGTGCCAGTGCCTGACAGGGACCAGCGGGACCCGAGGGAGGAGTCGCACAGCACAACCTTTGAGCTGGGTTCCCTAGTGGTGGGGAAGGCAGGGAATGGTGACCTCTCAGAGCTCAGGAAGCAGCATGGGTGTGGTGAGTGGGCTGGTCAGGGAGCCAAGGGCTCAGGGCCAGAGGTTGGGTTTACTGCCTTTCTGGGTGTCCGAGCAGGGTCTGGGGTACGCGTGTGTGCGTGCGTGCGTGCGTCAGGCCAGCAGAGGTGCTGTATTGACTGCACACAGGGGAAGTCTGGTCACCCACCACCCAGGAAGGATTTCCGGTTTTGGCCTGTTTTACTTACAGCTGTCAGGGTTGTTCCAGGTCTGGGAAGGTTTGGGCAGTGCCTCTGAAGACAGGCCTGGCTCAAAGCCAAGGGCAGGCCTACTTCCCTGGCTTTGCTGGAGGAGAGGGGGTGAGGGCACAGCCTTTGCCAGGGCTGGCATTTGCCTTGTTGAGCAGCTCTGGAACTCCTCATCCACAGGTGATGTCCATAGAGGAGGTGGAGCGGATCCTGGACGAGACCCAGGAGGCCATAGAGTACCAGCGGGTATGTTCTGCTGGGCACAGTCCAGCACCCCCCCCCCATTGCCAGGTTGGCACACGTACAGCTAGCCACTGCTTCCCAGGGGGCCCCAGAGCCCACCAGGCCTGCTACCTCTCAATCCATCTCTTCCTTCCACAGCAAATTGATGAGCTGCTGGCCGGCAACTTCACCCAGGAGGACGAGGATGCCATCCTGGAGGAGCTGAATGCAATCACTCAGGTACAAGATCCGGGGATGTCTGCTCCTCTGGGGAACGGGGCCCTATAGGCCTCCGCTTGGTGGTATGTCCAGCTATTACATTTGAGCCCAGAGTCCTGGTTTCCTGGTTTCCTTCCCAAGGTGGTTTTCATTTGGGCTGAAGCCAAGCTTCTTCCACCCTCGGTGCCGGCCGCTGGGGAGCCGTGGAGGGAGAACGGTTGGCAGAGGGGAACGCTCAGCCTGCCCTGCCCAGTCAGCCTGTGCTTTCCTCTTGGGCTTAGTGGAGCCGTTCACCTCTGCACTCCAGGCCCCGAGGATCTGCTGGGCTGCAGCTGTGTCTGACCTCCGTGTTCAGGCCATGAGCTCTGTCGCTGCCCAACTTAACCTCGGTTGACCACAGCTGCTGTTTGCTAAGGTCATCCTGTCTCCCCAGAGCCACCTGCTGTCTACATCCCCGGGGGACTGTCTGGGAAGTTACTCTTTGGGTCTGTAGGGCCAGGAGCCTTATGGGCTGCTGGGAAGACAGCCCACGAGATGACAGAGGCCACCATGGAGCAGCTCTCCACCATAGTCTTCCAGGACTGGAGCCCCCTCAGTGCCTCCCAGCAGAAGCACACAGCTTCCTAGCCCTGGGGATTCAGATAGCCTGGTGCTGCAGTCCCTGCTTGTGAGCCAGTGTATTCCTGGGAGTAGCTCCAGATCGCTGGGGGTCCTGGGGTCCCTGGGGTCACTGTAGTCCCTGTAGACCCTGTAGTGGCCTTGGCCCCTCCGCAGCTGTCATCTGTAAAGACGCTGTAGATAGGAAGCCGACAGAGCAACAGGGCCAGGCCTTGGAGCAGCAGGCTCACAGCTGCACCCTCTTAGGGCAGCTAACAAGCAAATCACACACACACCCGCTCACACCTCTCCTCTGCTTCTTGCAGGAGCAAATGGACTTACCAGAGGTTCCTTCGGAGCCCCTTCCTGACATAAATCCAGGTACTGTTGTGTTTTGTGTGTGTGTGTGTTGGTCGGAAGGAGTGTAACCGAGGTCTCCAAGGGAGCCCTACACAGTGGTCCTCTCACCTTGCCCAGCAGCAGCTCCCACAACCCAGTAAGAAAGTGAGCCTCTGACTGTGCCCCACCAATGGAGAGTGGGTCCCTGGCCTCGTGGGCTCTCATGGGCTCCAGACCAGCTCACAGAGACACGCCCACTCATTAGCCTTGGGAGAAGGCTTGTAGCCGCTCAGGCCCTAGAGGGCTCAGAGCTCCCAGCTCCCGCAGTCATCTGGAACTCACAGCCTTGGGCAGCGCTGCCCCTCCAGTGTCATGGTCGCATGTCAGGAGCCTCCCCGCACTCTAGTCAGTGAATTAAGTGGAAACTCAAAATCTTAGTAGCTCCACACGTCCCTCTGTGACCGTGTGGCTTCTGGGAGCTCCAAGCCTCCTGAGGCCTCCTGGACAGGCTGTGCCTCATGAACGGTTTCTTTCTCCACAGAAGCCCCTGCCAAGGCCAGATCCAGGCAGGCAGAGCTGGTGGCGGCCTCGTAACTGGGACTCTCCGGGGACTCGCAGGGATTCTCTGAGGACGGCCACAGAGCGTTCGGCTGCGTGTCAACCCTGAGGGCTCCCAGAAGGCCTGAAGGGCTGCACTAGTGGCTGCTGCGCTTACATAGGCCCTGCGTCAGGGCCGCAACGCACCTTCGCAGTTTAGTCTGGACACACCACTGTCTTGCTCTCATTCTGGATTAATGGACATTCAGAGCCCAGCCAGGCCCGGCTTCAGGCAGCTGTGGTTCCCACCAATACTCCTGGTGCTGTTCTCATGGCTGACCCAGTCGTGTGACCTGCTCTCTTTTCTGAGGAAGCACTTCAGACCTGAGGTCCCTATACTTCCGACTCGTCTCTGCTGCTCACATGAGCTGGTGGGGGGCTTCAGTTAAGGGGTTCTCACAGTGCCTGGCCTCCTGCTATCCCTGTTTCCCTGCAGGCTAGCGGCATAGGGGACTGGTGTTCTCCAAACATCTTGGGACACCTCTTTGGCATTTGAGACTCGAGCCTCTTATGTTTGGGGGAGGTGGACCAGGGCCACCCTGCTGAATGGACAAATCTAGGAGCCTGACTTGAGGTCTTCAGAGAAGACAGACCCTGCTCCAATGGGTGTGCACCTCTACGGCATCCTGCACACAGCTGCCAGTCCCAAAGCCACCAATACCCAGGAGGTGTCGAGCTTGAAAGTGACTTCCAGGGTCCTGAGCTCATTTGACACTGGACAGTCCCTGGTCCTCGGGCCTCTGGGAACACAGGGCTACCAGGAAAGGGTATCTCTTCCTTAACCCAAAACAGGCCAGCTCCAGTATTAAAGCTGGCCTCTGCATGGTCTCCCGTCTCTTGGACTTGAGTCTGGTGTCCTGGTGTGGATCCCTGCATAGGAGCAGTTAACATGGGTAGATTGGAGCACAGCCCATGACCCAGCTGAAACAGCCCCAACCACCTTACTAGGCAAAGCCAGGGCCTGGGCGGCAGGTGCACGGGGGGGGGGGGGGCTTTGGCCTCCTCCCTGTGTAAGTCTGGGGCTGCTGAGTCCCAAGGGTAACCTCGGCCATGCCTAGCAGCTGTCTCTGAATGCAGAGGAGGGCAGGGCTCTGGCCACCTGTTCATGCTGCATATCCCTACATGGGGCTGATGGTTCCAACGGCCAGACCCCAGGCCTGAGACACCTTGTGACAGAGACTGTTTTTCGGTCTCAGTGCACATGGGGACATCCTGTCTGGTAGACAACTGTCAGGTCCCCTCCATGGAGCAGGCTCGGGGCTTCTCACGAGACAGTGGAACCTGCAGGTGTGAACTGGGAGCAGCCCTGAGACCCACAGTGTGGATGCAGCCTCTCCTGCAGTGCCCGTGTTCACCAGGAGGGGGCTCTGTCCACCTCGGCTGCTGGAGTGCGTGGCCACACGGGAGTTTTACCAAGGAAGCAGCAGTAAATCTAGGCCCTGCAGGCACCCACACCGTGAGGTGGACACCATTGAGGTGACAGGTGCTGCAGGCAGAACTTCAGAGGCCCAGCTAGGCCAGGCTCCACTCAGCTCTTGTGTCTGACCTGTGCTGGGTGGAGGTCAGAGAGCCCAGGGCAGCCAAGAGTCCCATCTTGTGAATATAGACTCCTTTTGGGGACGAGATCTTACTGTGTGGCACAACTACCTATGTTGTCCACTGACCTCGGCCTTCTGGATGCTGGGGTGATGGCTGTGTACCTCTGCCTAACTTGGGGTGTAGCCTTTAGGTTTCACCCCTGGCCCTGTGAGCTTTGACCTTCTTAGGACCCCCTTGCTCTATCATGGTTCCCTGTCAGTCAGTGTAGTTGGTATAGGTTCCATGACAACCACGAGCTAAGTATAAAGCTTGTGGCAGAGACAACTCCTGGAGATGTGGAGGTGAGCAATGGGGCCACGAGTGGGGGCCAGTGGCCAGGCTGGGGCAGAGGGACTGCAGGACAAGCAGTGGTGCTCCCTGGAAGCCCCCTGAGATGGTGGCCTAGAGATCCAGGCAGAGGCTAACAAGGCTAGCTCATGGGACGAGGCACCTGCTTGGTGTTCGGCTGGCTGCTGCACAGAACCCTGGCTCTGGGAAGGGAGATTCAGATCCAAACTCAGAACCCAGCTGGCTGTCTTCCACATCAGCCACTGAAGCCTTGGCACCTCAGCTCCTTCCTCTGTGAGATCTTCAGAGCAGACTCCCCATGCCTGCAGCTCAGAGTGAATCCTTGTAGGCTGGTCACCCAAGTCTGGCATGGTGGCTTCATGCTAGCCATCCCAACACAGGGAGGTAGAGGCAGGGGCCAGCCTGGGCCACACTGTAGGAGCCCGTCTTAAGAACAGAGACTGGGAATGTGGCTCGTGGGTACAGCAGGTGGTTCCCCCCTCTCAGCCTGGGGCCATCAGCTGGCATCTCTTGCCTTGCAGCCTGGTATTGGAGAAAACAGGGTTTATCCTGAGTGATGCTAAAGGCTTTTCTCCTCTGGCAGCCTATATCTAATCGCCTCTTTCAAAATGTTTTAATTTTTTTAAATTTATGTGCACTGGTGTTTTGTCTGCATGTGTGTCTGGGTGAGGGTGTTGGGTACCCTGGAACTGGAGTTACGGACAGTTGTGAGCTGCTATGTGGTTGCTGAGAACTGAACCCAGGTCCTCTGGAGGAGCAGCCAGTGCTCTTAACTGCTGAACCATCTCTCCAGCTCCTCAAAAAAATGTTTCTGAACTTGTTTATGTGTATGAGTGTTTGCCTGCATCTATGGTATGTATGTAAGCGTGCATGTACCCACAGAGCCCAGAAGAGGGCGTCGGTTCTCCTGGAACTGGAGTTACTCATGGTTGTGGGCTGTCTGGCCTGTGGGTGCTGGGAGTTGAAGCTGAGGCCACTCAAGAGCCATCTAGACAGCCCTCAATCACTTTCTTTACATAATTCTTTATTGACTGGAAATTTCACACCAGGCACCCCAGTCCCTCCATATCTGCCCCACAGTCCTGCAGCATGCCCCCAAAATAATTAAAAACAAAAAGCCCACCTCATTCCTCCATCTTTACAACACCTCTTCATTCATCCTGGTGGCATCAGGGCTGCGGTGTGTCACCTAGGATAACCTTTTGTCCAATCAGTGCCTCCCACAAACCTTCACTGCCAGGAGCCGTTGGTCTGGGTCAAGGCCTCAGGCACACCGTCCTCATAGAGCCTCATCAAAACCCCTCGTGGTGGTGCACGCCTTTAATCCCAGCACTGGAGAGGCAGAGGCAGGCGGATGTCTGTGAGTTCGGGGCCAGCCTGGTCTACAAGAGCTAGTGCCAGGACAGGAACCAAAAGCTACGGAGAAACCCTGTCTCGAAAATTAAACAAAAAACAAAAACAAAAAGAACCCTCGTGGCTATCCTGCAGTTGCCGGAGTCACTGAGATCCTTGAACGTCTTTTCCCCGCTCTGGGCAGTAGCTGAGCGGGTTGGTCAAGGCCCCTCGGGTGAGGGGCGGAGCTAGCTCTCCTGTCAGGTGAGGGGCGGGACTAGCTCTCCTATGTTGGTGCCTTCAGTGCCAGCTCTTCCTCACCTGTGCCGAGCAACGGAGCCATCTCTCTTGAGTGTGGGGGTTCAACTCTCCTGCTGCAGTGTCCAGCAGGAGCCATCCCTGGGGTCAGCGAAGGTCAGGACTGGCCCGGCACGGCCCTCGTATTTCAGCACACATGGTTCCTATAACCCTGTGATACCAGCCGTGGGCATCAGTCCAGTCCCTGACTGCTGTTGAGTCACGGACCCAAACATGGCCCACAGCAGTAGCCCAGTCCCAGATGACACCATAGCCCCATGTGGCTGTGTAAGCCGCCCAGAACAGCATGGCGCTCAGACACCAACATGGCCTCTGGTGGCACCACGGACCCCTTCGGTCATCTCGTGCTACCATCACAATGGCAATGAAATTTGAACCTGGGTCTTGGAGGGGAGGCGGCACCGAGTGTGGTAACCATGGAAATGAATGAAACTGCATCAGAGCACCGTGGGTTTCACACAGACCAGGAGAAAACAGTGCTGCCCCTCCCTCGAGGCAGCTGCGGCTCAGCCAGCTCACAGCAGCAGACGCTGGAACCAGACTGCTGCTGTTCTGCGTTCTGTTTGGCAGCTCTGAGGGCCCGCGCCAAGACTGCATTGCAGGTTAGACAAGCACTCTACCCCAGCAGCTGCCACCAAGCCCTGTAGCCATCCTCCGGTCCGGGTGTAGCCATTCATGGCCCTCCCCACCCTCACCCCTGGAGACCACTGGTCTGCTTTCTTGAGAATGTCACATACTAGTAATCACTGTGGAACCTACAACGCGACGGCACCTGCTGCTCTACACAGGGCCTCTGTCAATGCCCCTAGTGGCTGCGTGTGCCCAGGGTGCGCTCCTCTGTCGTGCTAGGTGGCAGTCTCTGGTGTGGGTGACTCATCCACACTTGTTGGGGGATACTGAGTCTGTACACAGCTTGCTGGCTGTTGCTAAGCACCAGGCATGACGGTGCACCCCAGTGGCAGAGGCAGGAGCATCTTTCCACTTTTGAGACCACCAGCATGAGCCTATCATTTTTTTTAAAGATTTCCCTATGGGGGCTGGAGAGATGGCTCAGAGGTTAAGAGCATTGCCTGCTCTTCCAAAGGTCCTGAGTTCAATTCCCAGCAACCACATGGTGGCTCACAACCATCTGTAATGGGGTCTGGTGCCCTCTTCTGGCCTGCAGGCATACACACAGAGAGAATATTGTATACATAATAAATAAATAAATAAATATTTAAAAAAAAAAAAAAAAAAGATTTCCCTATGGTCAGGCTGCCCCCTGCTCCGGGGCAGGCAGAGGTGGGTACCCTGTCTGAGGACCTGCTCATCACTGTGCTGCAGTTTGCCCCAGCTGATGATGACTCCTGCAGGTGACTTTCTCACTCCTTAGTCACCTGTGGGAAGAGGATGTGCTGCTCTGGCCTCAGGTAGGTGGGGACGGCCGCATGCTCCCACTAGCCAGGGAGAGCTGGGAGTGAGGGTGTTACCATGGCAATGCTGCAGGCTTACAAGAAAGCTGTTCTGTCTGGCTCTTCCTTCCAGGGGTAGACCTATGGATCAGGGCTCGAGCCACTGGACAGCTGGATCCCCAGGAATGGGGGACACGCCCTGTAAAACTACACCAGTTCCATTCCGTGCTCTACTCGCTTAAGCGCTAGGGGAACTAGGCTAAAAACACATGCAAACACTGACAGAGACAGACACACAGACATACAGGGACACAGGAGCATCCTTGAGACAAGAGTGCCATGAATGCCCACTTTATTGTGCTCAGGGGCAGCTTATATAGGGCTCTGGCCACGCCCCAGCTCTCGGGATCTCTCAGCACAGACTCATCAGAACCCACTCCCCTGCCATCAGGGTCTCGCAATCAGAGCAGCTGCAGGCTGCTCAGACAAGAGGAAAACAAGTTGTTTACAAGAAATTCAAGGTCTAGTGGTTCGCAGTTCCCAACACCCCCCCTTCCATGTTCCTCATTAACATTTTCCAACTCCGTGCCAAGCCCACCAGCCTGGGGGAGACAGGGTTGCTACCCCAGCACTGCAAGCCTACCTGACAGTCATTTCTGGCCTCTGGTTGTCCTGAGGAGCCAGCCTTCCTGGAGGATGTGACGACCTGCCAGGTACCTGAATGCTATCCAGGGTTCTGTCACCCCAGGTTTCCAAAGGATGTCCCTTCCTCACAGCAACAAAACACAGTCCCCTATCTGGCTTTCCGTGACTGTCTTCTACCCTGTTTGGGGTGTCTGTTGTAGTGTGTAGCGGTTCCCCCAACAGCCAAACAGCGTTCCTTTGGTATGTCTGGTTGTC